CGTCCATGTCTCGTGTCCGTAGAGAACTACCGGCCGTATCAGCGTCTTGTACATGGTACATTTAGTACGGAGGTGAAGTTTACCCGACCTCAGGGTCTTGTAGACGTAGTAAGCACGACTTCCAGCAATAATACGCCGACGAATTTCTCTGCTGCAGATGTTATCCGACGTCACCAGAGATCTGAGGTACACAAATTCATCCACCACCTCGAACTCATCTCCGTCGATTGTCACACTACTGCTATTCACTATTCACCTTTAATCCAACATTCTCTACTTCACGTTTCAGCCTGGTGTACTGCTCCGCCACGGCCTGAAACGTTCTTCCGACAATGTCCACGTCGTCAGCGAAGCAGATGAACTGGCTGGACTTATTGAAGATCGTGACCCGCGTGTTAAAGCCCGCACGTTTCATAACACCTTCTAGCGCAATGTTGAACAGGAGGCAGGAAAGACCATCGCCTTGTCGAAGTCCTTTGCGAGTTCTAAACGGGTCCGATAACGCACCCGATATCTTCACGCAGCACTGTACACCATCCATCGTAGGCCTGATCAGTCTGGTCAGCTTCCCGGGAAAACCGTTCTCGTTCATAATCTTCCAAAGCTCTTCACGGTCAATAGTATCATAAGCGGCCTTGAAATCGATGAATAGATGGTGCGTAGGGACTTGATATTCACGACACTTTTGGAGGATCTGCCGCCAACGTAAAGATTTGGTCCGCTGTCGATCGCTCGTCTACAAAACCGGCTTGATAACTTCTCACAAATCTGCCTGCTAGCAGCGATAAACGGTGAAAGATGATCTGGGAAAGCACTTTGTAGGCCGCGTTAAGAGTAGTGATCGCTCGATAGTTCTCACATTCTAGTTTGTCGCTTTTTTTATATAACAATTTACACAATTCTATCCGCCAGACTTAAAAATGTAGCGACTATAGTAAGGACGAGCGGTCTAAAGTCTGGTCCACTTAGAATCCGAACACATAAATCTAGGTGTTTCTCTGGATTGAGTTGCCTGAAATCCATCTTGGCATAGATTTCAACGTCAATGAGAAAGCATCCTCTGTACTTCGTCAGAACCCGGTCGTATAACTTCCGGGCACGTGTTCTGGCCACTAGATTATTCTTCATCGTCCTGTTTGGTAGCTTGGAGGCACGGAATGAACGATAGCCTGCTCGCAGACGGATCCTCTGGACGGTACTACGGCTGGCACCGTATTTTTGGCGACATCCCAATACGAGAGTTTTGGGTTTCTCTTGATCGACCTCAACACCTTTCAGTTCAGCTGCCGATCCACAGTTCCAGCACGACGTTTGCTTTGAACCTTCCGGGCCACATATAAATAAAGTGTCCGGATTCTAAGTGGACCAGGCTTTAATCAACGTTTTGTAGATAATCCTTCAGAGTCCAAAGAATCGGCGGTCACCAGTGAGACCAGATTTACGAATTCGTCCTCGTCCACCCCCTCGATTTCATCACCGTCAATCCGAACTCTTTCTCTAATATTTTTGTCTTCGATGCATTAATAACGAGTCCAATCCGATTGTACGCTTTAAGTCTCATGTACGTTTCCGCCATCATCACAAAGTTTCGTGCCATAATGACAATGTCATCGGCGAAGCCAAGAAACTGAACGGAATTCCTGAAAATCGTACCACTCGTGTCTATCCATTCGTGTAACGCTCGTGTAGCTTAGTTTCGTTAGTCAAAATGACAGGCTTGTGGGATACCAAATTTTTCGGTGGCACCCTAGGTTTTGTTTTATAAAACCAGTGTAAAACGTGCACTGTGAGAAATTGAAAATTTATTTATTGAGCAAAGTTGCTTCAAATAAATAGTTTCACAACTTTGTCAAACATTGTGCTGGTCTATCTCAAATTGTAAATTGAACTGTTCATATGCGAGTTGAAAAATTTCTCCACTTCCCTGAGCATAGAGTACCCAAGTAACAATTTAGCAGCCTTTTGGCATTCACAGTGATTTATTGTGGTTTTAAAACGGTAATAAGCAATCTTTTTAGTTTAAATACAGCATTTAATAGTGCAGCACAGTCTTGGTTAGTAATACAGCATTTTGCTGTTTTACAAATCTTTTAAAGTCTGACGACAAAGTCAAAACGGATTTGGTTTTAAAAATGAATTTAATGCAGCACTCTATCCCTGTATAAAACTGTTCAGTAAGTCAATCATGAACCTGCACGGTATTATTTTTATTGATGTCGCGGCAAAATACTCCATAAATCCGTTCGGTTTCAAACGGGATCAAAAAGCATATATTGCTGCTTTTTGGTGTCAATAAAGTGAATCACAAAACTCCCTACTAAAAATATGGATCCGCCTACAGACAGAGAAAAATAAATCGATTGGAGCTTTTAATTCAGAATCACAAGGAAATAATACTAGCGATACTGTCGACCGAAGGGAAAAGGAATCCAAATCCAGAACTTCCTGGGAGGCCTAGTAGATCCGACTGAACCGGTCAACAATGACAGAACAGCCGACTGCGAAGAGTGAAGTGAATGCGGTTCACGAAGCACTGAAAGTCGTCAAATTAGATACTTAAAATTTATAGGAATACCCAAAATATTGTCAATAGCGTTTGCGTCACGTTCTGATCAAAAACAGACAGCAATTGCGTTTCGATGATGATCCGAATAACATTCATCAGTGACAAACTGGGACTGCGGAAAACTGCCGACAGGATGCTTCAGAAACTGTCAGTCAGATGGAAATTGGCTCCTTTCCGAACCATAGCAGCGGTTTCATTCGGCGAAAGGGTCAACTATTTAAAAAAAAATCCAAGCAAGCGCACATGAACTTCATCGCGTCATCCAGCAGAAGGAAAACTTTTCGGGAACGGTTGTGCTTCCATCTGTTCCAAGTTATATAGATACACTTCCTGATTAGCTGCTTCCAATTCTCGATTACTTTTTCGAAGGGACGTATCAGCTTTTGTAAACAATGCATTTGATCGTCGATTTCACGTAACTGGTAGCTCGTCGACGCATTCTAACACTACCCACAGATAGGGAAACTTGTCTTCTACCTGATAGTGTTGTTAGTATTATTGGGAGAGCTACCAGTTACGTCAAATCGACGATCAAATGCATTGTTTACAAAAGCTGATACGTCCCTTCGAAAAAGTAATCGAGAATTGATGCTTTTCGAGGATGCCACGCAACTCGGTGCAATGATGGCACAACAAAACTATCGAAAGATAAACAAATGTTGACGTTTAACTTTTTCCAGACAACTTTGCCACCATTAATGCCATTATAAAACTCAGATAAAAACAATTCAGTCTGCAAATTATCTTCATTGAAGCCGAATTAAAACGTTTTGCATTTGTTAGCGATTTCATGAAAGCAAAATAGCTATTTCACAATTGGCCAATGGAAAATCAATTTTGATGCCAGCGCCATATTGCTTTTATTCCATTTGTTTTTTTTTACTATCTTCGTTTTTCAAGACGTTTTTCCTTGAAAATAACTTTAATCTCATCAATTCATCAATGAGCAGTAATAGATATTACGAATCAAATTACCTCTGCTGGACCCAATGATTTATATAAAAATAACTGTACAGTCAACTGTACAGCTAAACCCATAGCCCACTTAGTGAAAGGCTTTCGTTAGTTGGGCTGAGCTGTCAAGCTGAAAATGGGAAAATGGGTTGAGGGATACACCGATTGATTATTATCATCACAATCCTTGAGCAATTGGATACTTGTTCATCCATGAGCCCCTCGAAAATGAATCAGCACTGTCAGAAATGACGTTTGACTTCGATTTAGGTAGGCTACAACCCATCTAACGTGAGCCCAACTAAAACGTAGCCCAATTAAAGATAGCCCAACGAGTGAAATTCGACTATACTTTGTTTCCTAAATTGAAAATAATTAGTAAAATCAACGATTTCTGAAGGCGGGATTATTTTTTTCGATCTTCCAAAGCACATTTCACAAAAGATTTAATCTGTCACCCAAAAATGGACCACAGCATGAGAACTGTTTTCATAATTTTGGTAATTCTTTCAGCATCTTTTTTCAACAATGAATTTGGCAAGATTGGATGATAATTATATGTATCTCTTTTCTATCTTGATTGATGCTTTATTTTTAGAGCGCTTAGCAAGCGTCAAATGCAAATGCCACAAGCATTGATGCCAAATGGTTTTTATTGTAATTTTGATAGGGATTACAAATGATTCGCAATGCTTTCGTCATATAACCTTTTTGCAGCAAATCAATATTGAAGTGTCTCAAAAATATCCCCTTCAAAACCTTCTTCGGGGTGGGCCAACTAGATAGATTCTAGTCTTAATGGATTGGATGTAATAAAGACATAGCTCTCCTGCCCAGGGTTTTGTAAATGTTGTTTTATAATAGCCTTGTAGTACTTCATCAAACGTAAAATGTTACTTGGGTATGATTGTATTTGCCACACAATTATACTAATGTTAAAATGGTACAGACTTAGAAAGCTCTCATTTAACAACTGTAGATGTGCTTAAAGAACACCAAGCATAAAGTCCCAGTGGGAACGTAATAAAAGCCAAAAAAGAATATGAACTACTAAAAACAAACTTCAGGGTTGTAACATAGTCCTGCAAGCTGCATCCTATAATAAAGCTTCCGCATATTATTCAGCAACAATTCCCATGCTCAAATGTACAAAGGAGTATAGTTCATACATATATTTAATTTGTTCCGGTAGATCTAACGAATTATACTGAAAGTATTGCTCTCTTACAGAAACAACCATCAAACACAAAACAATCAATAATGAGTAGCTATTTAGTAATCAACTACATACAATCAAATATTACAAACTACGTACCAAGCTAGCAAAAACACTAATTGTTGTAATTTTTTTCTCCTCCGCATACTCTTAAAAACATACAAACAAACACACACACACACACAAACTGACATACTCACCCGTCAAAAACGATCCTCCTCCCCGACCCCACTCGAACCTCGAAATCCCGCCGTACACTTCCAGATGGTTTCGCCTTTTCGCAAGAGGAAGGTGGCAACGTGACGCAAACCGACGTTATCAGAGCCTACGACACCAATCTGCCCAAACCGGATGGGAACTGAGAGTGCCGACTCGATTTTTACTACGAAAACTATTTTTCCGTGTGCTAAAACGCAAACGCAAACGTCACCACCACAACTATCAGCAACATCGCAGTCATCAGAGCAGCTTACTTCGTGTACTCTAATGTGTCTCTATCCGACATCGATCGTGATCGTCGATCCCAAAATGGCATCTTTACCTGTGTGAGGGAAAAGCCTAGCAAGAGGAAAGAGATACCCGCGTAAGTATGTTTGTGTAAATGTATCTGTATAGTCACTATCAGTTATATAATATAAGTATATTTGTGTCAGAATGTCAGAAAACAAACTGTTTAACGTCTAAGCGGCCAGGGTATATTTATAGTAGAGGAAAATTGAGATTATTTATTTTATGTGAAAGTATTTATAGCAGTTAGTATATGTATAGTTTTCTAAGTTGGCGATCGAAATTTCGAGGGATGAAAATGAAGGAAAAAAGGTAATATCAAGAAAAAAGTATTATTTTTGTACCAAAAAAAGAATACGAAACAAATCAACTATACAAACTATAGAAGCTTTTGTCTTATTCAAATAACTTTCTCGGAAAATACTTTTTTTATTTCCATGTTTTTTAAAAACTTCGACAGGAGGCTTTTTTTCTACTTTTAGTACACAGTTTAGTTTTCTACGATAAAAAAAAGTTAACATTGGGGGAATAAAAACGTCAAAAGGGAGTTCACTCTAGAATAGAAAGGAAAAAAAAATCTACTATTAACAGAACTTGTACTTTCACTCGACACCAGCCCAAGAAGAATCTAAAACGTAAAATGAAGAATTTGTTCGCGCCTTGATAACGAAAAATAACTAACACTAACAAAACATTGGAAATTATTACCTAAACTTATTGAATAGATATCACAAGTGTGAACACAAAACAAACAATGGAAACCAAACAAATTAACTGTGGAGCAAAACAAAAGAGGAAACAACTAACTAACTTAGTTGATGGAACAACGGTAACAACACATACACACACACACACAAACTTTCACCTTAAATCAGTAGCCACTAAAGGTAACGGAAGATTATATTAGATTAGATTAGTCTGTAGAAGAGGTTCTCAGTTTCTCCAATCATCAATCTGGATTCGGAGATCACTATATAAGGGGCGACCTACCGAACCGCGTAACGTTTGAATGTACTGAATTAACTGTCTGTTGTTGGGAGGGACTAATTGAAACCAGTGAATAAAGAATAAACGAAAATTATCCGATTCGTCCGTAGTTTGTAAACATCGTTTGGTATCCGAAAACGGCCACAATTTGAATGAGAAGTTAGGTTCCTGTCTTAGACGGGCGTTGAAGTCACCGGTAATTTTAGGATGATCGTCATGATATTACATAATTCACATACAATGTGTAGTGCCCCGTGTATACTTGCAGGCGTATATATATGAGCTTTTTGGCATGCGAGGAGCACTTGGTCTAAAGTAAAAGGTAAGTAACATTGTGTACAGAAGGCGATTCGATTTTTGACCTTGAACAAAGTTGTTCTGCATAGTTTTCCCAATTCAAGTCAATTGATCAATTTTTGAATTTTTGACAAGCAAATGAATAGTTTCGTTCCGTTTCCCATACATTTTCCCATGCAAACATTAAATTTCTCCCGCAAATGCAGATCATAATCAAATTAGCTGTAAATAAAATGTATAATAGTCTTTTCAATTAAGTGTTGCTATAAAATATTACGTGTCACACGGACGAGTTTTCTCAAAAACCGTTGGAATGGATCCTTTGACCAGCCGTAGTTAGTTTCCCACAGCACGAAGTTCATGTGATCTCCCTCCCCATGGCTAGTTTTTGCACCTTGACGTTGGTGGGAGGGCCTTATATCATGCCATAACAGCCGGCATCTCTAGCTCATGTCGTGGCAGTGTGCCGTCATGGGTGGCTTTCCGTCATTGATGAACCATATGGCTTGAGAGAACCAAAGTTCTAGCCGTTAGTGACAGTATCACTTCTGTATATATTTTATTCGATGACCATGTCGCAGCACGTTTATGTAAAGGCACTTACTTTGGGCTTGGGTGTGGTACTAGCAGGATAGGCCGCAAGTCACTCTTATTTTATTTTGACACACATAGCAAATATTATAAATTAACAATATGGTTCACTATTCTATTAACCCCAAGACATGATTTTTCCCGACACTAGCGGCTCTATTGACGCGAAAGGTGACTAGTACACTGTAAATTGAGCGTAACAAGGCTATCAAAAACAACTCACAGTTGAGCCCGCTGCTTTACAGAGCTGACGTCACACACCGTCAACCATAAAGTATCGTTGTTGTTATTCACATCGTCGTGATTTTGCGCTGTTAAATTTGATGATTTTTTTATAATACGGGCTATCGTTCTTCGTTTTTCCCGCTCTGTAGACTTGCAAAATTGAACCGATTGTTAGTGGAAAGTGCAATTCGTTGCGATAATCGTCTATTTGAAGCATATTTCGTGTTGTGAAAACAGTGAAAAAGTTATCTAATCGGACATCTAGTAGTGTTTACTTTTGTGTTAAGGCCTGTATAGAGATCGAAGCGAAGCGAGAACCTCATACAAAATACTAAATTTTTCTCCTGCGTGAAAAACGCAATTGGCAAATTTTTCACTTCGCTTTGAACTGTAAACAGATACGATTCAGCGAAATCTAATTTTGTGGATCGTATATTTTTCGCTTACGTATATTTTTTTTTTCGCGCATGCAGCGCTAGCGGAAAGAGCAGCAGCTAAGCGAAAAGTTGACGTTTCGAGAAAGAGCGTATCTGTCAGATTTTCACTTCACAGGAGGTGTAAACAGATCGATTTCGTTTCACATGAACTGTAAACTGCGAAAAAAGGAAACTGGAAAATGTTCAACAAACATTTTTTTCACAACCTTTTTCGCTAGGGAAATTTCATGATTTTCCGCGTGCTTCGATTTTCGTTTCGCTTCGGCCTGTAGGCTTTATTGTCGATATCAAACGCTCTGCAGAATCCAATTCCTCCTTGCGTATTAGAGCATCTCCACCGCTGTTTCTAAATTAGATCTGTAAACTGAGTCAGCATGACTTCCGCCTGTGACCAATGTGCTAAACCAGTTAAAGGCGATGAAGAATTCGTCTCCTGCATGGCTTTTTGCAACAGGATAATTCACCAGAAATGCGGCGGCACAAAGTTGAACAAGGTTAGCCCGAATTTGTTTTGGATGTGCAACGAGTGCACTAAGTTGATGAAATGTGCCCGGTTCAAAACTGCTGTTTCGTCGTTTGGTAGTGCGATTAATTCTATCGCTGAGCTTAGGAAGGAAATGACTAAGCAAGGACAGCAGATCGCTCAGCTGTCGAAACGAATCGCATTGACAACTCCAACACACTTGAGTTCCGGCGATCTTATGCGTCAATCGCCATAAAAACGGCGCCGCGATGAAGGCTCGCTCACCAGCAAACCACTTGTTGGTGGTACTAAAGCAGTAACGCATGACAATGTCTTTACCGAGGTCCTTACTGTCCCTGAACCCACCAAGCTGTTTTGGCTGTACCTTTCTCGTATACATCCTAGCGTGAAACCGGAATCAATCGAGAAGCTGGTCAAAGGTTGTGTACAGTGCGATAATCCGATTAAGGTTGTGCCACTAGTTAAAAAAGGATACGACATCAGCCGTATGCGTTTCATATCGTACATAGTCGGATTGGCTCCCAAACTACGTGAAGTTGCTCTTACATCGGATACATGGCCGAAAGGAATTTTGTTCCGTGAATTTGAAGACAGTTAAAAAAACATGTGGATGTCTCGTTTGAACACGCCTGCCATTACGATCTCTCCTGTTCCGGGACCTTCCAAGTTCTCAACTTCCATCTCCGGACTAGACCCAGTATGCTGATTCAGAATTCGATGCCGCGTTGTGAATTGGAACGCTGTAAACCAGAACGCACTGCCTGTTGTATTATGGGAGACCTCGAACCACTCGATCCAGTCGCGCTAGCTGTTTCCCGCCATCAAAGTCGTTCTATTTCGGTCGAGTTCGGTGGTGGGGTCTCCCAACCATCGTCTTCAGGCAAGTATGCATACATTAGTTACAGTAATTTTCCTGATCAGCTTCCGTGTTTCAGTGCAACGCCTCAAGCATCTGCCGGCTGTTGAGAAGCACTTCTGAACTGCTCATTCACAACATCCGTTTTACTGTTCGAACAATCCTAATTCATCTCCGGGACACACAATAGACCGCTCTTTGGAAGCTCCTATTTCCTCCAGCCCAGTCGTGCCGATTCCTGCCAGCGTTCAGCATAGTCGTCCTGGACCTGTGGCTGGATATGAATTAGGAGTCTTCCACCTTGCCTCTATAGGCAAGTACAATCAATATATTGACTATTCACTGCCTGATGCCGATCAAATTTTCAGCAATTCGGACTATGTTAGTCATTTTGATGATGCCTCTGTAACTCCCAATACTGGGAACCCGGAACGCGCCGTAGAAAGCCCCATGGAAGCCCCCAATCCCTCCGTCTCAGTCCTGCCATCAGCAGCCTTCGTTCATCATAGTCGTTCCGGACCTGCTGTCGGATGTGGAGAGGGGGTCTTCCAACCCTCTCACTATGGCGACCAATCAGACTTGATGATGGTGTGTTATTGCCTGCACACCTAGAAAAAATCGTGTAAATTTAGGTGCTCTGAGAGTGACATATACGAGCGTCACTTTTGACATAAATTTGAGACATAACAGACGCGAAATATAGCTTAACAAACGTAATTTTCGTCGAGCAACGAACTTTTCAGTCTCGGAGCAATTAAAATTACATGACATGTTTGTTTACGTCTCATCTTTAATGTCAAGGATGGATCCCGTCACGTGTAAAATTAGTTATTTCTAAGTGTGTGATATATCTATGATTTCCAGGGGAAGCAGTCGTTCGATTCCTTGCCGCAAGCAGGACGTCGTGATCTTCTACCAAAGCGCCGGTGGAATGAATTCTGATGTTGAAGAGTACCGCCTAGCTGTATCGGATTGTTGCTACGCTGTCATTGTCCTGTGCGAAACGTGGTTCGATTATCGAACACTTTCCAGTCAAGTCTTCGGTCCTGACTACGAGGTCTTTCGTTGCGATCGGAATCCTAACAACAGCCGTAAATCTACTTGTGGAGGTGTTCTTGTGACTTTGATCGATTTTCTTCATCGACTTTCTCTTTTGTTAATAATTCCTTGATTCGTGTGTCATTCTGGATACTAGATGAGAACCTCCTTTATCAAACTATGTGGCAGAAATAGCGCAATAATTTAATTTATAAAGCTGTAACTATCAACAGAGAAAGCTGATGAAGAGAATCGATCAAAGTAACTTACACCCCTTTCCTTCTAACCCCCTTAATTGTTATTAGAATTGAACCTAAAATCCTCATCCAATCATCATAGAATCCTTCTCAGAACTCTCTTTAGATGCACTCTCAATTATATTGGAATTATTTCCAAAATTGTTTCGGAGCTGAAATAGCGTCTCTAATAATTTAAACAATAATCATAAGCGACACACGTATGTTTTAAGCCAAGCTTAAATATATAGGTAAACCTGGCTTAAGATTTAAGCGGAGATGAAGAAATCGGTTCTCATAGCACTTTATTTTACATGAGACTATCGTAGTCTGTATATATATTGGTGTCATCCCTAGAATCCTTTAAAATTCTTTTAAAATTTACTTTGGATTTTTTAAAGTTCTTAATCATTCTTGAAAGACTTTTGAAAATCTATCACAGACAAATACCTTTGGAAGGTTTTTAAGGTTTACGATAGGCCTTTTTAATGGGAACTAAACGATCGATTCAACCTCTGGTGGTGAATAGGAGAACGTCAAAAAGAGTGTTGTGAGCAGAAATTTTTGCCTTGAGACATAGGAAGCGGAACACTTTTTTACTTTTAGTCTAGTCTAGTCTAGTCTACACATACACAGCCAGTACTTGAAAGAATCCTGGAAAATGATACATCTATCATTTTTCTTGTCATTATTAATGCCTGCTGCACATCAAGGATGTGAAACAAACAATAAAGCGGCCAGGCCTACTGTGTAGCGTTTAGTTAATTTTTGTGGAAGTGAATGTTTACCATGTCTACTTAATAAGTATAGACAGTGGTTAACATTTAATCCACAGGTAATCAAAGAGCGGGGACATACCGTACCAACCGCTCCGTATGCAGGATTTGAAAATAGGCTATATAAATCGTTGGGAGTGACAGAGCTAAGAAAGTTAA